AAAAAAAAAAAAAAAAAAGCAGAAACTGAGATCAAAAACTATACCCGAACTGAAATTCAAACCTTTCCTAAGGATTTTATGCGCAAGGAGATAGGGGAAATAATCAGCTATTGTGGGTTTTCTTATTCGTTTGGAATAGGCTCTGAATTGTTACAGCTGCCAAAAGGTGTCAACTGCCTAATATCTCTAAAAACCCCCAAATCCATAACTTTCTTAAAGATCCATCTTGGCTGTATGCTTGGAAGAGACCCCACAGATCTTGAGTCCCCTTGGCTTTCCCCTGAACTGGGCAGAACTAAAAGCTCACCTCTCAAGGCATCCCTGCACCAAAGGGAAAGTTGGCAGGGTTATCGGGGCCTCCAGTGAGGAGGAAGAGGGAAATGGGAAGGCATAAGCCCCTAAAGCCACCCATATTTGTAGCAGGGCCCTCCTTCTCACTTGGATGGTGATTGCCTGGCACTGTGCTCCATCCTTCCATCACAGTGATCACTGCTAAGGTTCACAGCGAGTGGAAAACATCGAGATGAAGCCCATCTTCTGCTGCACGAAATTGACATGATCCAATGGGTTTATCATTTCCATGACCACAGTGACCCAAATGACCCCCTCTTCCATTTCCAACCCTGAAGAGGCCCCATTTAACCTTAAGTCCAGAGAAGTATTTTTACAGGGCACTGTCGTATTGACAAGGCAACAGCACTCCCTTTTACTGGGACTGCGGTCACCACCCAAAGGTGCTAAATCTCCTAGAAGAAAACTTACCTTCTCTTTCTGTCCCTTGAATAGGTAAATCTTACCGTGTTGGCATGGAAATACCCTAGGAGGTAATTAGACATTACTTCTCAAGGACAAATACAAATCTTAAATGTCCTCTCCACAAATGTTAGTAAAAAGCTGTAGCCATCTGGGGCGCCTGGGTGGCTCAGTCGGTTAAGCCTCCGACTCTTGATTTCGGGTCAGGTCATGATATCAGGGCGTGAGACTGAGCCCCGTGTCCGGCTCCTCGCTGGGTGTGGAGCCTGCTTCAGATTCTCTCTCTCCCTCTCTCTCTGCACCTCCCCTCCATCAAAAAAAAAAAAAAAGCTTTAGCCATCTGAGCAGGTGAACTCATACTGCAACTGACAAACAAAATTTGGATCCAACTGCTCTTTTGTAAATTTGCGAGTTCTGCATTATTGTACCCATCTCAGGGCTAAAAGTTCAAAACAAAAGCTGTAAGGTCTCTGTTTTGTGTCTGTCTGTATGTTTGCATGTGTCTATATCTCACATTTACAACATACATGTGCATGTTGTAAGTAAATATATTTTGTCCTTTATTTGCCTCTTTCCCATTCTGAACTAAACAGTTTTACTGAAGGACAAATTTGCTTTCTTTTCCTTTAACAAAAATGTATCTCCCTACTTCATACCATTTCTTAGCCAAAAACACTTCCTACTCATCTTGCATAGTTTCCCTTATTATTTATACATAGGGCATTTCTACATTTCTACACGGGGCTCAGTCTCATGACCCTGAGATCATTAGGGGAGTGCAAGATACATCCATGTGTATGTTGTAAATGTGAAATCTATTTCTACCTCTGTATGGTTTTACCAAAATTAACTTGTAAAGAGCTCTATTCAATTGGCTAAAAAACAAGTGCATTTGTAAATTAAGGATTCTGAAAACTCTCAGAAATATAAGAGAAATTAACCCAACTGTTTTTCAAGTTTTTTTTATTTAATTAGAACAGCTATGCCTTTAGAGTGATCAGCATTTGGGCTCCATGCTGGGCATGGAAACTACTTTAAAAAAAAAAAAAATACATTTAGAGTGATCAGCATTAAATACAATGATTTTATTCTAACTAGGTTTACTAAAGATCAAATACGTTCACGTTATCTCTGTTGCAAAATGTGTCAGCAAGAAAAGTTAGCTTAGGGGGCGCCTGGGTGGCTCAGTTGGTTAAGCAACTGCCTTCAGCTCAGGTCATGATCCTGGAGTCCCGGGATCTAGTCCCACATTGGGCTCCCTGCTCAGTGGGGAGTCTGCTTCTCCCTCTACCCCGCCCTCCCCCCCCACCCGGTCTCGTGCGCTCTCTCTCAAATAAATAAAATCTTAAAAAAAAAAAAAGCTATTATTCATGTTCTTTAAGGGGGCATTTTAACAATACTTCAGTTGTAGTTTCAGATAATTGGGTTTCCCCAAATAAGTAAAATCCAACACATTTTAGGCAAAATAAGGATAATGATGGTGATGATAGATTACACTAAATGATGAAATTTGCTCTAATTCTGGAAAAGAGATCTAATCTAGTTATCAAATACCGGACATTATAACTAAAACAGCATACTTTAATGTAGAAACCAGGTAGCCTGACATTCATGTGTTAAGAGTTGGAGGTAGAGTGAACTCAGGACTTAATCAGACGAGACTCCCTGGTTTGGGCTGTCATCAACATTTCCTTTGGTATAAATTAGTTTACTTTAATATCAAGAGAATAATAAAACCAGGCTAATTTGGTGTTACAGATGATGAACATGAAGTCCTGAGACATTAAGTTCTCACAAGCTAGGTGTGGAGGCAGGTCTTGAACTCTCAGCCTTGAACATCTCACTGCTAGCTATTAAATGTACAAAGCTCATAATTTGAGACTAGATATTAATGTGTAATACCCAGAGGTATTCTGGTGGCTGGACTCTCCTTCTATAACCCATAGATCATGTTATAGGATGGATGGGCACTTCCTCATTTTGTACCAGTGGCCTCCTAACTTCTTCCACCACATAGTCTCAACAGTGCATATTTGGAGAATTTACCCACATTTGGACATATACTTGTTTACATAATACATGCCTACATTACTAAAAGCCTTATATTCTTAATATTAGTAAAGCTTAGTCTTTTTAATTCTTCCGGAGAATGCTATGGTGAGCCACACAGTAAAGCCACTGAGCTTCACAAAGGGTTATGAAACTCCAATCCCAAGAAGAGAGGCCAGCGCCATCTAGCGGTCAGGTGTGAACATGCACACTCTCTGGCCTAACCCTGTACTGCTTGGGTTTCCCCAAAACCCCGGTTCCTCATCCTGCACACAGTTATATTAGAGCCCAACTACCTCAACTTTTTTTGTCTCCTCTTTGTTAAACATATCTTTCAGACTCTGTATTCCCATTGTCCTCTGTATCCTCCGGCATTACATAACATACAAATAGGCCAGAAAATAATACGATCCTGCTTCCATTTCAAACCACTTATGCACATGGAAAAACAACAACAACAACAACAACAACACTGGAATGTAATCTAAAAACAGGAAACATTAGTTAAACTACCAAAAAGTGTGTATGTATTTGTTTGCTGCCTTATTCTCAGCCTTTGTCATTGGACGAGAATCCTGTCTGTATCCCAAAGGCCTGGAGCAAGGCCCAGCACACACAATAACAAACCAATATGATTTTGTGAAACCAATGAATTAATTGGTTATCTTGGGATGAAGTGATTCAGAATGGTTTTTATTTTCTCTAAGCACAATTATAATTTGCAAATGCTCAACAATCAATGTGAATGATAACTAGAAAAAAGAAATAAATGTTAACACCTAATTGGTTAGCTTGGCCTTCGAGCCATGAAGGTGCTCTTTCATGAAAACCACAAAGATGACAAAGATCTCAAAGAGCCATCTAATCAGTTTCTTATTACCAACCTGCAAGACAGCGGATATCATCTTCCCATCTATCTACCATCTGAAAAAGACCCAAGTGGGGGTTAGCAATGTGCTGGTGCTAACAGTTTCTGGAGTGGTCTATAAACAGCGTCAGCCTTCTTCCCTGCTTCTCTATATTGTGAGGATTAGGATGCTAAGATTGACCCCCTAATAACAGGGGTTTCAAATGCAGAAGTGCTAGGTAGCATAAAAAGTCAAGCAAATACCCCTACTCAGGAAAGATGCCATGATCATAATAGTGGGTAAAATTAAGGTAATTTATATTGAAAGACGGTTGTTAAAAGTATTACAAGACAAGTAAATAGATGCACAAACCTCACAGCCAGCCACTGCTGATCCACCAAAAGATGAGCTTTGTCAATTCTAACATTTTTGGCAAAGTGTAGTCGTTTTGGCAAATCAGGAGTCAAATAGGGTTTGAAATGCTGATCAGGTTTCCGGCACTAAAAAAAAATAGGTAAATTCTTTCTTCATATAAGTTATAAAAATATGCAAGCTAATTCAACAATTTCATCTTCTAAGACAATTAAGCACTTTTTAAAAGAAAGAGGATTTAAGCTTGGCTAATAAAATAAGGATATTAAACCTATTATCAATGTGGTCACATTCCCCAATTATGTTATTTTTGTTATTGCAACAATATTTAAATTACAATTAAAAATGATTTAAATTATGATTTGGTGTTTGACGTTTTAAGTTTTTATTCCTGTGTATGTATCTTAAGCCACCATAAACCTCCCCTCCTTTGTTGACAGACAGTGGATATGTCTAGATTTCAAGTGGCAAATACAACTTTTGAATTTAAATTATATATGAAAAGTATATAACACACTAGTAAATACCAGTAAAAATTTAAAAAATCAGTTTAATTGCACCAAAATCCTCTTACAATGGATTCAATTTGCCCTTGAAATAACCTTCATTGACTTAAATCCCAAATCAAGTCAAAAGTTTTTGAGACCTAGGATAAGCTCCTTATTTGTGAAAAATTCATGAATCTCTTACAAACGAGTGAAATGTTGTTTCTTTAATAATTACTGCAGTAACTTGATGGCATATTTTAAAACTGTGTAAAAATGCAATTCACAGTTATCTAAAAAAAAAGGTAAGGAAGTGACCTTTTTGAGAAACAAGAGAAAAAACCATACAGGTAAGAATATGGGAAAATTACCTTTTTTTCTGCTTCCTCATTCTTATTTAAGTCTCAATCATCTCATAAATATTTTAAGCCTGTGTCACTATTTTGTGCTCAATTTATAGAAGAAAAAAAGACACCATGAAATTGAACAAAAAAACAATTTAAAAAGAAGTATGGACAATAGAGCAAGGAGAGTTCTAGAATGAGGGGAAGAGAAATTATTTATTGCACAGATATTTCGGCCAGTTTTTTTCTTGCCTATTTTGGTATCTTTACCAGGCTTCTTCTTTTTCTTTTTAATTCATCATTACTTCTTTTTTTTTTTTTTAAAGATTTTATTTATTTGAGAGAGAGAGAGAGAAAGAGAGCATGAGCAGGGGCAGGGGAGAGGGAGAAGCAGGCTCCCCGTTGAGCAGGGAGCCCAATGCAGGACTCGATTTCAGGACCCAGAGACCATGACCTGAGCTAAACAAAGGCAGATGCTTAACTGATTGAGTCAGCCAGGCGCCCCCATCATTACTTCCTTCTGAAGCCAATATTTTTGTAACATCCAGGCAAGTACACTATGGCAGCTGTTGGGTATGCAGCTTCCTTCCTCAAAGATACAAAGGACTAGAATGTGCCCTCGAGGACCACAGGTCATATGACAGTCACACTCTCCTAGCTGGTGTGTAGCCAGAGTAAATCCCGAGGACACTGGAGGCATGCTGCCAACTTCCAAAGAAGGACAGGGTTATACTCTGCATTTGAGAATTTAGGCTGAAGACCTTAACGCTGGGAAAACTTGGGTCATTTTATCTAAGAACAAAGTTGATGCTGTTGTTGGTCATGCAGCCAGAACCTTGTTGAACTAAGGAGTCACTGTTCATGTTTGGTTATCTTTGTCCAATATAAGCTCAGTACAGGACCTCCGACCAGCATTACCAGGAATATTGCACGGCCTCACGCAGTATTTCCTGGGACTCGTGGGCGACTGTATGAAATGATGATCCATTTCTTCGGGGTTCTTTGGCTCCAGGCCCAGCCTGTATTTACGATGCCAGGTAATGGATTTCCAAAGCCTGTGGTATCCAATCCCCCTGCACCACTGGGATTGTTAGAGATTTGCCCCTCCTCACCAACAGGGCTTCAGTTGTACGGCTCATGAGGTGATGGGGAAAAGAGCAACAATATGTGGTTTTAGAGAGTCCACATGTTGAAAATTCTGAAGGGCCCCTCTGAGCAGCATGAATACACTGCCTGTATGCCCTTCCCCGCATGGGCTAAGATTGCCTACCAAGTGTACTCACGATCAGAATATCAGAAGGTATAAGAGAAAAAAGGAGTGATTAAGGCTCTAAAGAATTGCTCTAATAGTCATTTCTACATCGGAATGCAGAGGTTACAGTAACACTCTTCTCCCTGTCTTTTCTCACCTTTAGTCATTCACATTTCATCCTAACATTTTTTACTATAATTGCATGCTACCTATACTTAAATAAACTAGGAGTCCCCCAGACTAATCTCTGGGGTAGGGGTGGCGACTGCAAATGGAAATACCTAAGATAAAAGCAACTGATATGCACATAAGATAATGTCAACAGAGGGTTTCAAAAATAAATGACAAGTGGCTTGGGCTCAGAAATACAGAATACAAATTTCTTCCAAACCAGATTTTAAAGACATTATATTACCTTATAGATATGTATTAGGGCACTGTATACTTACACTGAGGTTCCTAACGATTTCTTCAGAATTAACTGTTTCAAAAGGGAAAAAAAATAAATCACATTACAAATGTGAACAACTCAGATGAATTTGATATATACACTTATTAATGACAGTAATCTGGTAAGATTAAATAAGAAATTATTTTAAGCAAAGAA